ACATAAAGCGGGGATAACACCAGAAACCATTAAACTGATTGAAGATAGGAAAAGTAAAAAGGCAGACTGAAACAATAGCAAAACTAGAGCTGCTAAGGCTAGAGCTCAGGGTAAATACACAGAAGCCGATAAGGAAGTTTAAAGGCGTATAAGGGCAGATAAAGTGAAACATCTAAATGATCTAGCACAAGAAGCGGAAACAGCAGCAGCAAAAGGAAACCTTATAGAACTTTATAGTAACACAAGAAAATAAGTAGCTAAATATAGGCAGCCAACTAGATCAATCAAAAATAGTCAAGGAAAGGTACTTACTAACATTAAGATCAAATGGACAGATGGGTTGAATATTTTTAAATGCTTCTAAATAGACCAGGTCCAGAGCTTCCCCCAGATATCCACCCTCTAGAAATGGAACTGGATATCAACTGTGAGATACCATCTAAAGAGGAAATTAGAAAAGCAATCAATCTTCTCAAGGAAGGAAAGGCGGCCGGTTCATATGGTATATCAGCTGAAGCCATCAGGGCCAACATAAACACATCAACAGAATTGCTACATAGATTGTTCAGTAAAGTCTGGGAGACCGAAGAAATACCAGCAGACTGGAGAGAAGGATATCTTGTGAAACTGCCCAAAAAAGGTGATCTACAGGAGTGTGAAAACTATAGAGGAATTATGTTGCTGTCAGTTCCTGGAAAAATATTAAGTAGAGCTATTTTGGAAAGATTAAAAGATGCTATTGAAAAAAAAGCTAAGAGATGAACAGGCAGATTTTCGGTCAAACAGATCCTGTGCTGACCAGAAAACCACATTACGGATTGTAATAGAGCAACGCATTGAACTGAACTAAACACTTTACATTGGATTTATAGACTATGAAAAAGCATTTGACAGCATTGATAGGGAATCTCTCTGGAAATTGATGAGGCACTATGGAATTCTACAGAAAGTTATTAACATAGTAAAGGCAACATATACAGACATGAAATGTCGAGTTCTTTAAAAAAGAAAGCTAACAGATACATTTGAAATAAAAACAGGTGTGCGACAGTGTTGTCTTTTGTCGCCTCTCTTATTTTTACTGGCTATAGACTGGATTATGAAAACAGTAACTTAACTGCTAACACCAAGAATGGAATTCAGTGGACCCCTACAAAACAGCTTGATGATCTGGACTTCGCTAATGATATTTCTCTTCTGTCCCATTCACTGAATCAGATGCAAGATAAATTAAATATACTTGATGCGAGATCACAGCAGCTTGGTCTGAAAATCCATAAAGGAAAGACAAAGATAATGAGAATAAATCAGGCAAATAGTAATGTGGTTTCTCTTAATAGCACCCCACTCCAAGACGTGGAGTCGTACACTTATTTGGGCAGTAATGTAGGTAAAGATGGAGGAACTGATAGAGATATTAAAATAAGAATACAAAAGGCAAGAGGAGCTTTCATAGCACTAGGGAATTTGTGGAGGTCAAAAGAAATAAAAAGAAATACTAAACTGAAAATTTTTAATTCCAATGTCAAATCAGTACTATCGTATGGGGCGGAAACATGGAGAACAACTAAGGCAATTACTAATAAATTACAAACATTTATGAACTGGTGGTGCCTACGCAGAATATAAGGAATTAAATGGTATGATAGAATAACTAATGTAGAGATTTGGGAGAGAACTAAACAGGCTCCAGTGGACACAAAGGTGAGGAAAAGACGCTGGCGTTGGATAGGACACACACTGAAAAAACAGGAGAACAGCATAACTAGAATGTCTTTGCATTGGAACTCACAGGGGCATAGGAATAGAGGAAAGCAACAAAAAAAAAAAAAAAAAAAAAAAAAAAAAAAAAAAAAAAAAAAAAAAAAAAAAAAAAAAAAAAAAAAAAAAAAAAAAAAAAAAAACACATGGAGAAGAGAGCTGGAGAATGAAGTTAGAAAGATGGGGAGGACATGGGGAGAGCTCCATGCAATGGCGAAGGATAGAACGACTTCGCGTGAGTTGGTTGAGGGCCTATGCTCCATTGGGTGATAGAAAGGCAGAAGAAGAAGAATCAACTGTATACACCATAATACGCAAATAATATTTAAATGTTTTTATCTAGTTTTTTCCATTTTATTTTATATATGTATATGTACTTTTGTACATGTTATATTCTCGAGCTTATTCCTAAGGAATTTTTTGGGGAAGTACTCAGGGGTCGGCCGGAAACATAAAAAAAAAGGGTGCTTTCAAGAGTAAAAACGGGATATATCGTTAGCCCGGGGTGATGACGTCACGTCAAGCTGTGACTTCAGCACCATGGCCCTTTCTTAAGCTGGCCATGATCAGAGAGTGTACAACCAGGACGAAAGAAGAGCCTGTTGTAGATCCACGGAGAAAGGTCGCTTTGACTGAGAAGAGTGTCTGCCGTGATAGTTGACAAAGGGAACTGATCTGGTATGCAGAGAAAACAGCTGAGCTGGGAGTGACACTGTGTTTAGCGGTCGAGTTGCCGACAATGCTTGTTGTGATGTGCATCAGAGACGAGGAACTAATATGAATGGAACGTCTAGATTACAAGGTAACTGAACTGTTGTTAGCGTTGTAGATCTGGAGTGACAGTTGTGGCATATTCCCTAGAAGAACTAGTAATGACCAAGGACAGCGACGAACTGACGCGGTTTTTAGAACAGCAATAAACAGTTGATGGTAAAATAGAGTGTCTGGCATTGTGTGTTTGCTTTAACTTAACCAGATGGGAGAGGAGAGAACTAGGGTCGCTGTTGGTCAAGAATTGAGGCAAGTAGCCATACTACCCCTGGTTAACCTAGATAGGATCGACGTTTCCTTCATAGCTGGAAAGCATCTGGCAGGAACCTACTGTATGCACACAAAGTCAGATCTGTAATTCGGATGTGCACACAGCATTTAATTCAGGGAACAACGTCCGCAGCTGGAGAAACAGCTAGAACTGTCCGCAGAAATTCAGCACAAGTGAACGCTAGGACGAGATGAAGAGGTGGAGACAGCACCCGATTGACTGTCTGATTTTTACTTTTTAGCATAGAAAGAGGTGGAGACAGCACCTGATTGAGTGTCTGATTTTTTTTAGCATAAGAAGAGTTGGAGACAGCACTTAATTGACTGTCTGATTCTTATTTTTTAGCATAAGAAGAGGTGGCGACAGCACCTGATTGACTGTCTGATTTTTTTTTTTTAGCATAAGAAGAGGTGGAGACAGCACCTGATTGACTGTCTGATTTATTTATTTTTTAGTATAAGAAGAGGTGGGGACAGCACATGATTGATTGTCTGATTTCGTAAGCATAAGAAGAGGTGGAGACAGCGCCTGACTGACTGTCTGATTTCTTTTTTTTTTTTATTAGCATAAGAAGAGGTGGAGACAGCACTTCATTGACTGACAAAATATATTTTTTTACACTGAAAGAGGTGGAGATCCTATCTGATTGACTGGCTTTTTCTTTAGCAGAAAAAGAAGTGAAGACACCATCTGACTGACTGGCTTTTTTTTTAGCAGAAGAAGAGGTGGAGACAGCCGCTGATTGACTGGGTGATACTTCTTTTCCGCAGAAGAGGTTTATACAGCACCGGATTTACTTGATTATTTTTGTTAGCAGAAGAAGAAGTGGAGCTTCACCTGATTGACTCGACGATTTCTTTTTTATGGGAAGAAGTGGAGACATAACCTGACTGACTGGCTTTTTTTATGGAGAAGAAGGAGGTGAAGACAGCACTTGATTGACTGGTTTTTTTTTAAGGAGAAGAAAAGGTGAAGACAGCTTTTGATTGACTGGCTTTTTTTTAAGGAGAAGAAGAGGTGGAGACAGCACTTGATTGACTGGCTTTTTTTTAAGGAGAAGAAGAGGTGAAGACAGCACTTGATTGCCTGGACGATTCTTTTTTTTTTCAGGAAAGGAAGAATTGAAGACAGCAGCTGATTGACTGGCTAATTAGTTTTCCAAGGAAAAGAAGGGGAGACTGATTCACAGGGTGAATTTTTTTTTTTAAATAGAAGAAGTATAGACAGCAATGGCTGACTCGACGATTTTTATATTTTTATTTGTTCCAGGAGAAGAAGTACAAACAGCACTTGATTGACTGACCTTTTTTAAAAAAAATCAGAAGAAGAAGTGGAGACAGCACCTGATTGACTAGATTAAATTTTTTTTTTAATCAGAATAAAAAGTGGAGACAGCACATGATTGACTGGATAATATGTTTTTAGCAGAAGAAGAAAAAATGGACACAGGACCTGTTTGACTGCCATTTTTTAGGAGAAGAAAAGCTGGAAACAGCATCTGATTGACTGGACGAGTTTTTTTTTTTTTTTAGTAGAAGAAGAAGTGTAGACAGCATCTAATTGACTGGACGATTTTTTTTTTAGCAGAAGAAGAAATGTAGACAGCATCTGATTGACTGGCTGATTTGTTTTTTTTTTTAAAGCAGAAGAAGTGTAGACGGCATCTGATTGACTGGACGATTTTTTTTAGCAGAGGAAGAAATGTAGACAGCATCTGATTGACTGGACTATTTTTTTTAGCAGAGGAAGAAATGTAGACAGCATCTGATTGACTGGAAGATTTGTGTTTTTTTTAGCAGAAGAAGAAGTGTAGACAGCATCTGATTGACTGGACGATTTGTGTTTTTTTTTAGCAAAAGACGAAGTGTAGACAGCATCTGATTGACTGGACAATTGTTTTTTTTTTATTAGCAGAAGAATAAGTGTAGACAGCATCTGATTATCTGGACTATTTGTGTTTTTTTTAGCAGAAGAAGAAATGTAGACAGCATCTGATTGACTGGACAATTTGTGTTTTTTTAGCAGAAGAAGAAATGTAGACAGCATTTGATTGACTGGCCGATTTTTTTTAAGCAGAAGAAAAAGTGGAGACAGCACCTAACTGACTGGCCGCATTGTTTTTTTTAGCAGAAGAAGAAGTGGAGACAGCACCTGACTGACTCGATGATTTATTTTTAATGACATTTAAGATACTCACCCAGGCAATGTTGTATGGGCTTGTGTGAATCAGGTGCTGCAGAGCAATATTATTTGTCTTGTTGTGGCATTGCTTCCGTTCTTGTTGTGTAACTTCATAACATTGGATTTTTGATTTAACTCTTTCGTAGAACCCTCTGGAATTGGAGTCACCGTAGAAAAACATCTGGCAAAAGAAATAATTGATGCTGTTTATCAGACAAGAGCCCACTATCTATAGATTATCGTATGTACTAAATGATTATACGGTTTTTATTTTAAATTTGCATTTCTTACGCCAATGAATTAGAAAGTAAAGACATGGCGTAAGAGATACATGCGTTTGAAATTCTGAATTCTGTGTGGATTTAGTGTTTGGCCGCACAATCTTTGATCATAAAGAAGTTTAGAATTTAATTTATAAATTAACCTGGCCCTCACCGGATGGAATAACTAAGAATCAGATAGACCACCTCTGTAGAAATAACAAATATAAGATGCTCAGTGAAGTAGATGTGGGCGGTGACATCTTATGTGCAGGAAAAGTCAAGCTTAAATTACAAAACAGCCGCCCAAAACCATTTGCAACAAAGAATAGATAGTTCAAGACTTCGCATTGTAAAAGCAATAAGATCTACTGTGTTAGTAAATGGTTGCTGTGATTGTTATTCGACATATGCTCCGTTAATATAAATTTCTGTAACCTATGGTGCCATTTCAATGGGTTGAAATGAATTCTGCCCGTATTCCATAGTTATGGATTTCAAGCTTTACGATAGATATGGCCAAAAAGACACCTTATTTGGGGGGGGGGGGGGGGGGGGGGTGCCTTGTTGACCATGTTCTTAGTGCACTTGTATTCATGGCGAGGCGCAGACGCCGTCTAGAGGTGACATGTTCAATTCCAAACACGGTAACTATAGCTTTCGATTTTTATGTTGTCTAGTGTGTTCTTCTATCTTTCTACTTCTTTCTATAAGTGCCGATCAATACACTTTCTGTTACTTGATTAATTCATAATATTTAAAGGCCTCAAAGGTTCCTCCTCTGTTTATTTATAGGAATTGAAAAAGCAACAGAAGAGTTCCAGCGTGAGCTAAAAAACAAATTTGAAACGTATAGGTGAACTATAGTTCGTTCAACTTCTCATGAATACACTTGCTAGCCATTTTCTAGAAAACTGCCTGTTAGGTCGCAACGATTTTTTGCATTAACATAGGAGGCGAGGACGCCCAAGAGAAACCCCAAGACGAAGGCTAATGAAAGAGGCCAAAGCTGCTGGACTAGATTCTATCCATGATATTGAACTGATTGCACAGGACAGAGCCAAATGGAGGCAGAGACTGAAAGTCCTATGTAACATATAATGGCACAAATGGATAATAAATGAATTGCTACAATATTTTTCTTCTCTTGTCGTCTCACTGTTACCAGGTTGTAACCCCGTGCCGTGGTTTTCTATTTTTGTCTTGCGCTTCTCGGATTGTTGACTAATGGATTTGTTCAAATGTTTGGCAGGTTTCATCTGCACCTTTTATCCATCTCTTTCTTGGTCTTTCTTTCGCCTTCCTCCCAGATGCTTTACTGTAAAAAGTCTCATCTGCAGTCTTGTGGGCTTACATTCTCACTAGATGGCCGAACCATTTAATTCTTTATCTGTCAGTTAGACACTGATCCTCTGCAAAATGAAGTTCATTGATTTCTGCAGTGTCTATATTTGCCTCCCGTGATATTCTATCCATGTAAGAAATAAATAGCATTGATGAGAGGACACATCCCTGTCTGACACCCGATGAGATGGGAAACCAGTCTGTCATTCCTTCTGTTGTTCTTACTGTGCACTAACTATCTTGGTAAAGAGCCATGATGTTACCTAACAGTTTATCTTGAACACCACAATCTTCTTGAATTTTCCATAGTTTGCGTCTGTTGACTCGATCGAATGCCTTCTCTTGATCTATAAATATAAGATGTTGATTCTACCATATTCAATAGACTGCTCGCATATCGGCCTTGAAACAAGTATTGTATCTGTACAGCTCTTTCCCTTCCTGAAACCGAACCGTCTCTTATTTAACTGGAGCTCTTGAACTGGTCGGGCTCTAAGTTACAATGTTTTTGCAAACATCTTTCCAGTATGGCTCAGGATAGAGATGCTCCTGTTTATTTCACAATCTCTTTTGTCATCTTTATTTTTCTAAATGGGGACAGTGATTGCTCTCTGCCAGTCACTTGGAGCTTTCCGTTCCTCCCAAGCCATGTTAAAGATTCTGGTCAACCAAGCTGCTGCTGTTGTCTTACATGCAAGGAGCATTTCTGTTGTAATACCATTTATTGTTATTTTTACTTTGTTTAAGGGCATTTTCAACTTCAGATTCCAGTATCTTTGGTTCATGGTCTCTGGTAAATTTATTTTGGCTCGGTACTTCATCCGGTGTTGCACAGTTTAGCAGCTCACTGAAATATTCCTACCATCTGTCTTTAGTAGCTTCAATGCTAGTGAGTGGTTTCTTAGTCTTGTTGTTAATAACAGTGGAGGGTTAAACGTTTCTTCTCTCAGTCTCATTGCTTTGACATTACTGTAAAACTTTCTTGGTGAGTCAGTGCATAATTTTGCTACTTGATCTCCATAATCTGCACAGGATTCTGATTTTACCGCCTTTTCCATAGCTGATGTAGTCTTCATCTGATTTTGTCTTTTGCCACTTTTAAAAACATTATTTCTTTTCCTGGATAGAAATTGTAACATCTTCATTCCACCACGCTGCATGTTTTCTATGAATGACAGCTTTTCAAGACCGCAGTTTTCTTTCACTGTGAAGGTTTAAAAGTCTGTCACTCATCTTCTCTGTTGTTTGTGTCTGTAAGGGTGTTAAAGGAGATTCTAGCTGCTCTATTTCCTCCGCAACTTATTTATCTTTTAGTTTCCCCATATTTATTACCTCTGCTGGTTGAACTAGTTTTTTAGGGTGTATTCCAGCTGGTTTATAAAGCAAAAGTATCACTGGTATTTGGTTTGAATCTATTAGTGCTTTTGGGATGGCCCTGGAATTCTTTTTTCTCCATCTCTCTCTCCTTGTCAAAATAAAATCAACCTGTGATGCTTGATTTAAATTGTTCCATTTATACCATGTTAATATCTGACTTCTTCGATGTTTGATAAAAGGTGGCAGTGATAATCATGTCATGTTCTGAACATAGATTTAGCAGTTGTTCCCGGTTAGAATTACTTTCAGTTGTATTGCTGAAGGGTCCCTGACATCTCTCCCATGACATTCTGCGCTTTCCAACTCTTCCATTAAAATCCCTTAGTATGTACAAGCTGTCAGTATCTTTAACTTTACTGACGGTTTTATTTAATTTGTCGAAGAATTCTATTCTTTCTTCAAAATTATATGTATCATTTTATGGAGCGTATACTTGGATGTATGTTCAACTTTTCCTGCCGAGTACTAGCCTGATACTCCGAATTCTTGCTGATATGTAGTCTGTTTCTTGTATACATTTAGCTATTTCTGCAGCAATGTTGAAGCCCACTCCATGTTTATTAGTCTTATTCTGTTGGGTGCCTCTCTATGATAAAGTCTAGTTTTATGTCATTAGTTCATACCTTGCCCTCTTCTTCTTATAGCCGATATCCCCATTACCTAATTTTTAATCATCAATTCTACCAGTTCAGTCTCGTTGTCTCCCATTCTGCTGATGTTCAAGGTAGCCATCCTAAACGTTGTTCTACCTCGTTGTCCTTTAACTTTGCAAATCTGATGTCCGCAAGAGTCTGTGCTATAATCATTCAATGTTTTTTGTTAGTAGTAGCAGTCAAATACACTACTGCCGGCTTGCTAGGCCTGTCGCAAAGTGGGGCAGGAAAAAAAAAAGCTGACCTGGTTGGTACCCGTCTCCTTCCAGGCGAGCCTTTAGCCCGTTAGCCTGAAACCTCACAGCTTCATTTTTTTCTCTTCGAAAAAAGAAAGTCTTGGATGAAAACAAAAAAGCACTGCTAATGCCTGATTCAGGCAAATGTGATGACAACACCGGTATAGGTATACTTCATCTGCAAGGTCCAAAAACAGAAAACATTGTGGGTGAGTTGTATTGTAAGGTTGATTTCGTTGGTCTGATTTAACTTGATTTGATCCGATTTGATTCAAGAAACGACATCACAGCAGTCGGGGCATCCCCATCTTCAGCAGCCAGTAAAGAGTTCTGATACTAATGGTGCCAGTAGCATTCTGATTAAACGTCCGTCTTGCCTTTTTCTGAGCCTCAAGCATCTGCTAGAACCTCTCGTCACTCCCCCTGCATCAATCTCACCAGACTGTGCTGATCCATCTGCTCCTTCGAACTGTTACGCTCTCCCACAAGGCACTAAACAAGTCTACCTTATCATGCATAAGTATTCCACCAAGTTGTGCAGAGCCAACCAGTCTGTCCGCATGTTCATTTCTCAACACACCGGCGTTCCTGGTGAAAAAATCAAGACAATACTCCACACCCGTGTCCTCCGCAGCGAGGCATGCCACTCTGCACTAAGCATGCTTGTCCTAATCTTCCTCAGCATGCTTTCTGAATCAGTTACAATCACGATGTGAGCGTGAGTCGTATTCTCTAACCAGTGGAAAGCTGCAGTGACCGCCTCAACCTCCATTCTTAAGCTGGATGTTGTGGTATCATACGCTAGGCTCTCTTGCACCAAACGTCGACAATGACTTTTTGCTAAGAAACCGCAAGCACTTCGTTTGCCTCTTGACACTGACCCGTCTGCGTAAATGATCAAATTCTTTGAGCGAGCATTATCTTGAATTAATTGCCGAATTTCCACCTCCGTGGCACCCGCTGGCCAGTCTCTGCATTCCCGGCTCAGTGTGATTATTACCCTACACAAGTCTGACTGTTCATGTGGCACTTTGACCTGCTCCTTTCCTCGCCTAATGTTCTCAAGGATGCAAACCTGTCTGATTTTGTATTATGCCCGAGCCATCCATGACTTCCCTCTTATTAGCCGCTGACCCTTAACTGCACACAGAGCCTCGTGCAAAGGGTGGTCGGTGTCTGCAGCTATCCTGAGAAATGACTTCGACTGCAGCACCTTGTGCCAACCTGAAACAGTCGGCAAACCAAGGATGTATCGCATACACACCACCAGGGTGTCTCTGGTGCACCCATAATGACCCGCATAGCTGCATT